AGAAACTCGAACGCTTATACAGAAATGAAAACTCTTCCCGAATCTCCCGACGGCGTCTCCAGGTCATTTTGGGTTACCCCGACCGTAGATAAGGACAGTTAGTGTGAAGCCCGACACCCATAGGATCCCGCGCTTTGCTCGCTCAGCCGTGAAGGCTATACGCTACTTGCTACCATCTACTTCTACCGTTTGTCAACCACTGACAGGGGAAGAGCGATGGAAAAATCCAGCAGCGCCTGCGGGACGTGTTCGCAGGATGAGCGGTTTAGCCGTGGCGCGCGCGCCCCCTGCTCGTTGTATCTGCAGCGCGCGTCCCACGCCCACGGGGAGGCCCGCTCACTAGTGTCTCGCCCAGACACACGCTCTGATCCTTATGGATAGGAAAGAAAGGGAAGAGGAGCGGGTATTGGGTTTGGGTTGTGGAGGTAGGAACCTGAAAGAAAAATATTCATTAATTGTGTTTTCCCTACCTCAGCGGACCGGGTGGTCTCGCGAAAGTTGCGAGGCCGTTTACCCATGCCCGGGAGCTCCTGCATCCCCCGGGTAGGCCGCTGTGAAATCTAATGTGGGCCCTTTAACCAAAGGGTTTCCCGACCAAAGGCCGCGAACAATCTCCCGAAGAGCCTCCCGCTGCGGCTCGAATTCGGGACAGCGCAGCAGATAGTGCGCGGCCGTGTCGCTTCCCTCTCTACACACACACATCTCACCTTGAACAAGGCCCAAGGACGCAAGGCGTACCTGAAACCTGCCGTGTCCGGTAATCATCTGTGTCACGTAGTAGTCAGGGCGGACCCACCGCGCATCAACCCTGCGCTCTACATTACCGAAGAAGGCGTACATGGTGCGGCCTTTGCTCGAAAAAGACCATCGAGCCTGCCACACCCTCTACGCCTCGGCCCTAATCAGACCCTGCGTCCCTTTAACTTTCCCGGTGAACGGGACAACCACATTTCGTACCGTTGCATCCATTTCTTTCCTCGCCATATACCGCGCCGAGTATTCTTCGAGAAGAATGTCGACGGGGACCAGCAGCCACACAGAGAGACTCCGTCGAGACCGTGCGATATGCAGCGGTCGTCGAGATAAGTGCCCGCTGCAGGTTCCTGAGGACCTTCAGGTCACCCCCCGCACACAGGTCGGCCCACCCAGCGGCAGCATAAGCCACCGTCGGCGCAAACACGCCCCGATAGATCGCGGAGAGCGCACTGAATCGCAGCCCCCACCAACATCCCGCCATCCTAGCTAATTTACTAACCAGCGACCCGACCTTGTCGCTTAAATATCTATAATGGGATGATACTCCCATGTCCCTATCGAAATGGATACCGAGGTACTTGACTGTTTTCTTGAACGCGATATTTCGTTTCCTAAACGAACGGTCGGTGGTCTTGCCGCGAGATCTGTTTTCTTTGCCCAGTGGGCTTTACGCTTTCGGTCCGGACGCGCTTCTCCCCGTCTACCGATGGGGGCCCTCCTGACCGGCTCGCTCCTGAGGACAATTGCCTCAGTCTTACCCGATGAGATCTGGAGTTTGGCTCTCTCGCACCAGTTCCTAACTATGTTCGTTATTAGTTGCCCTCTTTCCTCTACTTCTTTACGCGAATTGCATTCGACCGTGACCAAAAGGTCGTCGGCGTACGCAATAAATGACCTACCTATTTCCCTGTCTAGTTCACGGAGCAGCCCGTCGAACATGACTGTCCATCACGCTGGACCTAAGACTGAGCCCTGGGGGCAACCTCTACTTGCGACCTTGGAGACACGGATGTCTCCAAAGGAGATGCTGATCTTCCTATTACTGAAATAACTGCGGAGGAGCTGGAAGATATTTCGAGGGCAATCTAGCCTCTTCCAGGCCTCCATGACTGGTAGCCACCAGACATTGTGGAAGGCGCCAGCTATGTCGAAGAGCAGCGCAAAGACGTATCTCCGCTTGGAGGCGAAGACCATCCGACGCAACTCGACGATCGCGTCCTCCGTCGACTTGCCGGCCATAGAGCCGAACTGCCGATCCGAAAGTCTTCCAGGCGTCATCGACATCTGGTCGAGTCTCTTCGTAAGAAGCTTCTCGAAGAACTTCCCTATGACGGAGAGGAGACAAATGGGTCTGTAAGACTTCGGGTCCTTCGCGTCCTTGGCCTCGCCCTTCAGGAAGACCCTAAGCGAGCCCTCCTTCCAGATCGAGGGAAAGATGCCCCACTGAAGGCACCCGTTGAAGAGCCTAACAAACTAACCTAACCGAGGATTATCTTCATGGCAGCCTTTAGCGCTGCAACCTCGACAAGGTCCAGGCCAGGCGCCTTCCTGACTTTTAGCGTTTTCGCGACAGTGACGATTTCTACCTCTGTGAAGAGCGGGGCATCGTCATCGTCGGGCACGATTAACGCACTTCCCCTGATTTCACGCTGCCTGAGCGTGTCCTCATTCTCCCGGTCATCAGGGACGTGCACCTCCAGCAGGCGCCTAGCGGTCTCCTCCAAGGTGTTGGTCGAGGAGCCATCGTCGCGGCGGAGGCTGCTGAGCACTTCGTCCACTCGGAGCTTCCGGACCTCGCGTTCGTACACAAATCCCAATGGCTCCGAGTTTCCCACCTCCGTCACGAATTTCCGTCAGCTGTCACGCTTCGCCTTCCGCACCTCCCTCGTGTACCTCCTCAAAGAAGAGAGGTAGGCATTTCGGCCCGAAGCACCGAGCGGCTCAGCGTTTTCCCGCTGGAAGGCACGCCGTACTCTATATAAGTCAGGATCGTCAATTATTTCGTCCACCACGGGTTGGACTTTCTAAAATGCCTTTTCCTGGTTATTGCCTGTTTCGAGGTTTCGACCAAACTTAGGAGATGGACTTCGCGAAGCTTTCCACCCCTCTAGCGGACTCCAGACTAAGGAGTCGAGCCTCGATGCAGAAAGGTCAATAAGGCTATCGGCGTACTTCTCCCAATCGGCACGACTCGCGTGGAACTGAGTAACTCTATGTTGACCGGTCATTGCCTCTGACTCTCGGCACTTTCAGCCGGATGTCCAGGGCACTGTGGTCGCTCGTCGTTCAGTCGCACGTGACATTCCACTCGCCGAGGAATTGGCTCATGGCTGGAGTTGCTAGGGTCACGTCAATATGCGACTATCCCCATGACGTCCAGTAGGTCGGCGACTGTCTGGGAGCATTGATGATCTTTCATCCGCAAGCGCGGATGAATTCCTCGAGCTTCGCGCCCCTATCGTTCAACTTGCGATTCCCCCACATAGGGGATCGCGCGTTGGCATCCATACCTACCAGCAATCTCTTCCTCCTTAGCGAATGAAACACCGCTTTGAGGTGCCTGACGTGCCCCTCAATCTCGTTGCTGTACTGGAAGTAGCACGATGCGACGTAGAAGGAGAAGCCGGGTGCCCGCACACGCCCACGCACAGTACGCTATGCTGAGCCGCGATATTTTCGTAATCTGGAACGAGTGGTATGAGACCGCCACTGCAGCACACGGACGTTGTGAGCGTGCAGCGGCAACTTTTGTTCCCTGCCCTAATTCGACAATGGCGAAGCTCGTGTCTTGCTTCCGGACGTGTATTTCCTGCAAGAGCAAGACCTCCAGTCGCTTCTCGGCTACGAGCTGACGGACTTCGCTACTAACCACAACTGAACGCCCTATTTTTAGTTGCATAATGCTAATGTCCGTGGATCCTAGCGAAGGACAGGAATCACTTAAAGCTGGTTAAGGGGGGTTTTCTAGCGAGCGATTACGATTCGCGGATGCGGATCCTACACCGATTTCCACTGTATTCTGCCTCACCCAATCATAACCCCCCCCCCCCAA